GTTAAAAAACAAAAATTAGTTTGAAACATAATAAGTAGTACTTTTTCAACCACTTTTTTTTAAAAAAAAATTATAGTAAAATTAACCTCTAGACAACGAGCCCAGAGTTTACAATAAGAAATAAAACATATTTCCTTTTCCAAAACCATCTCCGCTCCTCCCAAATTTTTTACTTGTGGTTTTTAACATTAAATTTAAGTTTCCAATTGTTAAGACATTTTACAAAATGTCAAGTCGTAGGCTCTATATATAGGAGATTATACATTTGGGCACCCACAATCTCTTTTCATTTATCCAGTCTCCTCTGTTTATGTTTGCCCAGAAGTTCTTCATAGATCCTATCCGGTCTTTGAGCACCCGTTTCCAACTTCCAACAAGTAAGCTTCTGCAATATTCCTTAAACAAATACTTCAATTGTTCTCTCTACCGATCATCAAATGTTTATATAGTTTCTTAAACCACAAAGTAAATTAATTATTAAAAAAAAACCAGTAAAGAGATAATTTTATTAATTAGTAGTATAAGGGATATTCCATTAAGAAATTAATTGAGGTTGAATCTATACCTTTCTTTCTTCAGGGGATGGCGGAAGCTTCTCAGTCAGCTGAAATTGAATCAAGTTGCGATGTATCAATTACCATACAAAACGGCCGCGCAAGCAAGGAGCAGAAAATCCTCACGGTGTCTCCCCAGCTACTTGAGGTAAATAAAAAAGCCTATGATCCTTATATTATTTCTCTTAAATGGAAAAATTTTAAATTAATGATATAATAAAGAAATATGTGGTTAAAATACAAAAAGAATTATTTCATTTATTGTTACTTTTTTTATCAGCCAAAATGAAATATTATTAAAAGAGGTAGAATATCCCAAGTTATTACATGTTTATTCCAAAGTCTTAAGAACAGTCACTATACGACCAATAGAGCATTATCTCCTATCAACACAAGCCAGTGGGAACTGAATCCAATCACTTAAAGTGAATTGTACATCTTCTGCTTTTTCTTTGAGCCACACATGATTTAGCTTGTATGAAATCAAATATTCTACCTTCATCCCACTGTTCTTGTTTGAAGACAATCCCATTTCGTGCTGTCCAGAATTAGACCAAAGTACCACAGAGAAAATTAACGCTTCTTGTCCAGAATGTAGGGCCAAACGTTCCATGCCCAAACTGATAACACATGTCATCAACAGTCCCACGGCAAACAAAACATATCCCCCACCAGCTGCAGCATTTCTGCCAAATCTTGCTTGAAAATTTACAATTTATTAGCAACAGATGGTTCCTTGATAATATCCTCTTCCACATGCAATAGGCCTCTTTTAACAAGGTATCCTTAGTTTAGATTTTGTTTAACATGATTCTCAAAACCAGAATACTAACCTTCGAAGGAATAAGTCTGCTCCAAATAACTTTGCAAATCATATTATCCAAGCAGCAGCTATGTTCCACCATGTGCTTGTAAGCTTCCTTCACAGTGTACCCTGGGCTTCTGTAAAATCGCAGTGTTTTTAATCGTCAGCGGCTACATCCATATTTGCATCACCCAGCATGGTTTGCATTAAGCGAAGCTCTTCAGCTTCTCTGCCACTCGGGTCTCTCCTCCTTTGGATATTCCACGACCAAGAACTTCCATTCCAGCGGCCAGCCTCAGCTACCGTTAGTTTCCTGTTCATGGTCAATTTAAAAAGCCTTGGAAATAAATCCAAAAAAGAGTCATTACCAAGCCATACATCTGTTCAAAAGAGTAATGATACGAAAAAAAAAAATTTAGAGCCAATGACGTAAAATAAGGTGTATTATTAAATTAATTAATATAAATAATATAATAGGTTTAAAAAAAATAAAAATAATTAATTATTAAATAATATAAAATTTACTTTTTATATTTTAAATAAAGTGAGTTATGTTACCTTATTAGTTTTAAATTTTAATATTAAATTTTGATCTTATTTATTATTATTGGTCCAAAAATTAACTTTCAATCTGTTATTAACTTTTTAGGAATAACCTTCAGTGATCACAATTTTTGCCTGTTTACATTTTCCACCATGGGAATTAGTTTTGAATTAGTTCCAAGTCTTATATTTAAGATTACATATTCAATTTTTTTTATACCTTTTACATTCATACCCAATGTGAACTTTGGGTGGGTTAATAATGAATTTCTCAAAAATAAAGTCTAGCTTATGATACCGTCAAAAAATTGAATATGTGGCATTCATTCCATAGAAGCTTTGTATTCAATTTAAAATTAATTGACAATAAATAGATTAACTTTATTTATATTTAAATCACATACTTTTTTTTGTTATATTCTCAATATAAAATTTTCCTATTTAGCAACTTCTACCATAAGTCTCTAACAAGTTATATAGATTTTTAGGCTTCATTTAGTATAGTTTTGATTTTTTTTTTTAATTTTTTTTTTTTTTATAAATTTTACTACTATCAAAACCAAAATTAAAAGTCAAAAATCAAAAAATTGATTAAAATAAATTTTAATATTGAAAACTAAAAATATCCATTTATTTAATAATATTAAAATTATTTTTTATTATTTTTTAAGAAAAATAATACATATATCTTGTAAAATTACACTCCGTTACATATTAACAGTCTTCGTTACATACTGACAGTTTTTCGTTATTTTATCTGTTATACACTAATAGTTTACTAAAAACAAGTTACTATTTTAGACTCAAAATTTGAATCCTACAAAACTTCAAATGAAAAATTGATCGTTTAAAATATAGATCAATGCTTCTTAAACATTTAGATAAAATTTTAGTTCAATCCAGTGGTAAACCTATGCAAATCGGACAAAATGATAAAATTGCATATGTTACTAAAATTGTAAAAAAAAATATCACCAAAACACATGAAAATAAATAAGTTTTTACTTTAAAATTACAAAATATATAAAGATCAAAACAAAAAATCTAAAATCACAACCATATTAAAGGAGGCCTAATCGACAAAGCAAACAAATTAATTTTTTTACGATGAAAATTATTTTTTTAAAAAAAGGTAAAGAGATAATCTTATTAGCTAGTATTATAAGGGATACTCCATTAATAAATTAATTGAGATTGTTGAATCTATACCTTTCTTTCCTCAGGGGATGGTGGAAATTTCTCACTTTGGTAAAACTGAAAAAAGATGCCATGTATCAATAGCTATACAAAACGACCGCACAAGCATAGAGCAGAAGTTGAGTTTGCCTTTGACAATGCCAAAGCAGAAAATTCTCAGGGTGCCTCACCAACTATTTGAGGTAAATAAGAAAGCCTATGAACCTTATGTCGTTTCTATTGGCCCATACCATCGCGGTAAAGATCACTTGAAGGAAATGGAAGAACAAAAGGTGCGATGTTTATATAGGCTTCTTCACTGGACAAATGAAAATGTTGAAATATATCTATCAGCCATAAAGGATATGGCGAAAGAAGCTCGTAATTGTTATTCAGAACCTTTAGATATTTCCGAAGAAGAATTTCTAGAAATGATGGTCCTTGATGGATGTTTTATTATTCAGTTCCTGAAGGACAACTTGGAAAATTTCTGCTACAGCGGTCTGCTCTCCACAAGCATTTGGCATGATTTGGCTCTAATTGAGAATCAACTTCCCTTTTTTGTACTTTGTCAGTTATTGGACAGAATCCCCAGAACGTTTTTCGACTCGGTGGGCTCTACAGATCCAAAACGCTTGTTTATCAATGCCTTCCTTAGAGCGTATGAAGGTAAAATGCCAGGGCTCAGGGTTGACACAACTTATGATGCCGATTCCATGAAAAATATCAATCATATAGTCCACTTATTACACTCCAATTGGCATCCTTCAAACAAAGCAACGAATGATGAAAACCCTTTGGAGCCAGAACATAAGAGTTGGAGATACATACGTTCGGCTACAGAATTAAGAGAGGCAGGAATTGATTTCAAAGTGGTTAAGACAAAAGAGAATGAGAAAAGTTGCTTATTTGATATCAAGTTTGAAAAAGGGATACTAGAGATGCCAAAAGTAACTATTGAGGATGACACGGAGAGTTTGTATCGTAACCTCATTGCCTGGGAACAGCTTGCCAATGGAAGTCCAGCATTCTTAACTCAATATGTTTCAGTCATGGATTCCCTAATCAACTCAGGTAAGGATGTGGAGTTACTTTGTAAGAAAGGGATAATTGATAATTGGTTAGGTGATGATGAATCAGTTGCGGTATTGTTCAACAGGCTCAGAGATCATACTACTCTCTACAGCAGACAGTTCTTTTACGCCGGGTTATTTAAGGATGTCAACAAGCATTATGGAAGAACCTGGAATCAGTGGAAGGCATACTTATTGCACAAGTATTTCAACAATCCGTGGGCTTTTATCTCCTTCCTTGCTGCAACTTTGTTGATTCTACTTACGGTGCTACAAACTATATTTACAATCTTACCTCGTCAGCATTGAAATTTCAAAGTGCAAGCGACCCAAGATGAAATGGTATGACCAAAATGTGTGAGAAATGCAAGTGTTACATAGACTAGTGCCACATTTGTTTTCTGTAATCGTCATATCGTATTGTCCTGTATCTTGTTTTTTAAGGTATGTTTTGTTGGGTTTCTTTAAGCTTGTAAGTTACCGTATTGTAAGTTATCATCTTGTGCTGTATTGTACTGTATTGTTAAGAGCACAAGTAAATCCATTACCAAACTACATGACTAACAGTGTATTGGATCATATTGTTATCATGTTTTCTTTAGTGTTTTCTTTAGGCTTTTTTGGAGCCATGGCATGAGAGTTGCTAAATGATGCTGCAACATGACTGCACAGTAGCAGCAGAGTGACAGCAGCATGGAGCTGCACATGGGCTGCAAAAATGACAGCAAACTTCAATACTTCAGTCGATATTTTAGCTAGCTAAAAGTTATTGTATTAGGTAGAAAAAATATTATTGTTTCATGTGTAGCCTTCCTCTATAAAAAGGAAGAAGAAATTGAATGAAAATTGAGTGAGAAAAAGTATGGTTTCTCCTCTCCAGTTGGGTGAATGTGAATGTCTGTACCCTTCCATAAATTCATGTTCTAAGTTCTGTCCACTCTATTGGGTGCAAGTGAAGAAACAATGTCTATTGCATTGAATTGGGTTGTTGATACAAGAAAGGCAATATTCTAGGAAAAATGTAAATGTATACCTTCCGGTTAAAGCAATAGTTTAACCACAAATTTTCAAGCTGGGGAAGATGGACTAGAAGCCTAGAAAATGTCCAAAGAGCACTTTCACCTCTCTTGAAAGAGGTAAGATGGACAAATACATTCTTTAGATTAGGCACTTCACTGATTGAGAAATCTAATGTGTGCCCCTTATATTCGAATGTCTCCAGTTCATTTTCATTGATTTGCATCTGCTTCAATTCATTTTGACCATGAACCCTTAACCACTTCAAATGAGGACTCAAATGATACTTAATCTTCAAGTGACATATGTGGAAGCATTTATGTAAGCTCGGTGATTCTAGCAGAGGGCAACTAGATAACAAACTTTGAAAATGTTCATCAGATTTCAAATCCACCCATCTAAGATCCAGGGCTTTGAGAGTGTTGTAACCAAGAAAATTGAGGTTTTCTAGAGCCAAATTGCTTTGTTCCAATCTCAGGCACCTCAATGTTGAATTTACTTCTCTTACGTTCCCATCACCAAAAAAAAGATGATAGGGAAAATCGTATAATCTACACAAGGGTCTAGTAGTCCAATCATCAAGATAAAAATAATGGATTAAATTAAAGGATCATCATTATCATCATTATCATCATAATCATCATCATCCCATGCAGTACAATATTTCCTTTCAAACAAACAAAGATCTAGTTCTTGAACCCCTCTTTCAGTAGCACGAGTAATCCAACTATCAAGATCACTGCTGTTCTTAACAGAGCAAATATTGAATAATACCTTAAGGTTTCTTATGTTTTGATCAGAATCAAAACACATCAGAAACTAGTTCACGGAATCAACAAACGCTTGCCTTCTTCTCCTAAGAAATGATAACCTGTCACCTAGGTGAACCCTCCAGCCATAAGGCCCAAAACTATGATAAGTGTCATAGTACAAAACTATGATCAGTGTCATAGTACTGAATTTTGCCAAGCATATTGTCTGCATTAAAGTTGAGGACTGAGAGAGATGAAGTCCAAATCTTCCTCCATCTGGTTGAGAGCACACTAGTTCTCACTGCTTTTCTCAGGCTAAGAAATGACAAGATGGTGCCAAGAATACTGTTGGGAAGTTGGCTGATCATGTCTCTCTCCAACAGATCATCCTCCATGACACTGATGCTGCTACAAGTTTCAAGAATGGTGATATGAAGAGGCAGGCACACATATGGCTTTATAGAAGAAGAGTCTAATTTGGACATGATAATACAAAGACTAAGCTGGGTTACCAAAGTATCTTCGGATTTTTCCATTGTGGGAATCGAAGGATCGTCTCTACCTATGAAGTAAAATTTATTGGCCATGCATGAAACAAATTCTAATGTGGTTGCATAATGATTCGAGGTTTCAAGAAGTTAATTTACAGAGCCAAAAACCAGAGCCCTTATAGCTGAAGTAGAGCTTCTGAGTATGCAGTTAATGTATTCAATGTTAAATGGAAGCAGAATATCAATGAATTAACGACACCGAGTGGCATAGGGATCATCGTGAATATCACCATCTCAAGATTACTCCAGCTGCTGCCTGTGACCTCTTGATTGTTGGAATGTATAGACCTGCAATGGTGATTGATATTGAACAATCCGATGGGAGATTTGTTGGTCTAAGACAGATAGACCTGCGTCCCTGAGCCTAACAATCACTGCATCAGGAACAATTTTTATGGGATTGATCGTATAAGTTTCCGGCAGTCCTAAAATGATATTAGAGTCTAAAATGATTTTGTTCTTCCTTTACTACAGCCACAAGACCTATCACAGTAGCCAATGTCGCCCTCTTTGCTGCGGTTCTGGGAATGTCCTATGGTTTAATAAAACCAATGCCACCGTCTATAAATGGGTATCAGGTAGTTATGGGTGCATTTATCTGGGGAACGTTATTCAGTTGACCTGGCTGAGTTTCATCCAACCTGGACATAAGTAACTTCACCATATATGTCTTCTATATTATCTAGGAGACATCCTTTAACTCATATCCTCCAAATGCAATTTGAAAACCAATTGAGAGACAATGTAGCGAAAACTCAACTTTCTGCAATAGCCAACATATTCAACTTGCAATCTTCACACTATAAGATATGAACTCACATTTGTAGTTGATGAATTCTTGACAGATAGACTAACAGAAACCAAGCTAACAACACCTTTAATATTTACCCCGCCTATAACTATGTGCCAAAGAAATTAAAACATACAGTGCAAACCGAAGACTAGAGTAGTTGATGAATTCTCCTGGTGAATAAACCTCAGTAATCAAATACATAAAGTGGGAACCCTGCCATTAGGTTGCATGTTTCTCCACCTCCATGGGAATTCAACAACAGGTTCTCATGCAAAATCACCTTCTCCAGTCAGCTTTGATCCCGTTATCTGCAATTGGCAAGCCAACAATAATAGAGTCAGAATGTAGAATCATTCAGCTTAAATAAATTTTAAATTCTAAAAAACCTCTCTTTTTTGCCATCATCCTTGACTTCAATAGTTAAAGATGCTCAGTTTTGGTTAAAAGGCCAATTAGAAAGAGTTAACAAAGGAGCATTAATTGGCATAAACCCCAAATCTCTAGTTTTGATATCATACTCTAGTTTGCACCAACACTAAAAGTTTGACTGCTAAGCAATTTTATATTACATAGAACCAATATATTTTATGCACAAGTGCACATACAGATCAAGACATAAATGCATGTACAAATGAGTCCTTTTATAAGCTTATATATAACTATTATATCCAAAGGTATACTCATGTTGCACACTAGAAACACAAGGCATACAAAAAAAGGCCCAAGTTTTCTTACCACTAGCATCTCTAGATGATGAAAGTGATTTGTCATTTCTCATAGCCCCCTTTCCAGATGCTTGAACCAATCTCTGTGCCCTTGGTGATGGTGAACTTAAGTTGCTATTGGTAGCAGATGGCAGAGAATGCCACCTGGTTACCCCATTTTTCTCTATCACATCACGTGCAAATCTTGGGGACCCTTGTCCTCTGAGCTTAGCCTTAACAGATTCAGTAGGTGCCATATAACACAGCACTTTGGTGTGCCATATAAACCATTCTCTTTAGTGTCAATCTTTCCAGGTAAAGAAGCTCTTCTTTGGCTTGTGTTCAAGTTCTCACTGCTGATAATGCCATCCTTAGAGCTCAACTGTTCATCAGTTGCATGCATGTTCTCAACTTTATCATTGCTTTCGGTAGGTTGAGTCTACAGCAGGGGCAATGTTTGATTCTTCAACAGAATCATTTGCAGTTGACAGTTTTGGATTGACCTCAAGATTTGATAGTTTTGCTGATGCAACACTAACAACATTCCTCTTCTCAGCAGAATCCCCTCAAAAACATCTACCATAGAAGAAGCAGAAGTTTTCATTAGAGTTTGATTTGGAATCTCAGTATTCACTTCTGCCCTACCAAAGATCTCCTTTGTAGAGTCAGGTATTTTCTTAAGTTGCACTTAACCTTCTAATCTCATTTTGGGGTTGTTCCCGAACTGGATCAGCTACGTTTGTGGAAACTTTCCTTGGATTGTGTTTGTGTTTTTCATTCTCTGAACTAGCACGAATGGAGCCATTTTCAAATTTTCCATTGGATAGTTTCCGGATAGTTTGTTTGGTCTTGCCTTGCTCATGTTCATTATGTTCAACCTTTACCTGAGACTTTGAGGCAAGACTCCTAATTGGTTGAGGTTCCCAGAAGTGCAATCTCATTCAGCGTTCAAGCCACTCCCTGGCTAAATTAGGTTCCCCTGGCCCATACTGAAGCCGTTAAGGCAACACAGTAGGTGACGAAGACAGAAGCTGAAAGTAATGGAAATACATAATCACACACATGGCTTGGAATGGCAGCAGAAGGAACACAAAAAAACGTAATACTTTAATTGTTTAATAGTTTATTAGCTCATATATCATAATTCTTGCCATCATAACAATCAAAAGGCAAACAAGTCAACTGAGGTTGGGGAATAGATAATTAGATATTAGGTCTGGATATGTCAAAATTCATCAGCAGCATGGGTTCTCTACTTTTAAGGCAAGAATAAAATTATGTGTTCTTTATCAAATTTTTTTCACGCATAAATAACAAGCTTTTAGCACTTTCCAATCAAGCCAATAACATGACAGCTCCCTTAGCATTTCTTTCTCAAAGCAAGGTAATTTCCAGAGAGTGGCCCAATTTCATATCAAAATGTTGATAAAATGAACAAGACCATACCTTCCTAATAAAAGCATTATTAGATAGATTCTTCACTCTAGCTGGCGCACTTAATTCACTGGCAGATTTAGCAACCTGTTCAGAAAATAGAAAATTCAATAAAAGCTAGCTTAAAGGGATGGCAAGAAGAAATTAGCAATTCAGAAGCCCCAAATACATATACAAGTAGAGGTATACAGTGCTTTTGTCAGATAGTGAACCACAATCTGATAACATTTAAAAAATTTCATAGGACTATCATTAATGTTGACACAATAACATAACTCACCTTATTCTTGTAAGAAATTACCGATACACATGAACAGAAACAAATACAAAAACATAAACAATTAGTACCACAAATCTTTTGTTCAGAAATCATGAATTGAAGGGTGAAAAATTACCGGAAGAGCTCTCAGATATATTTTCTGCACTTCAATAGCAATATCTGTGCGTCCGACCTTTTGGCCACAAACTAGTGCTTGGAACTTAACATTTCCCCATGCACTGCATAAAGTAGCAGCAGCTTGTCTTCTGACTAAGTGACCACGAATCAGTGCTTGCAGCCTTATAATGCCCTTGAGGGTACGGAATGCTCGACGGGGCTTTCCAAAACATCATGTTGGCATCAGTAAAATAGAAATAAACAGTATATCCTCATCAGCTGGAATATATATAAAATTGAAATGCCAGGAAAACAATATATAAGATGAAATCAGATTCCGTAATTCTATAAAGCTACAAGTAACCCAAATCAAAAATAACAATATCAAGGCTTACATAAACAGATACCTGTAGATAATTTTCAGATTACAATAATCTATAGAATCTATATAAACAGATGCCTGTAGTAAACTGATAGTTATACCATTCTGACAAGTCACTTTTACTCAAATGGCTAACTAACCACACAATCCATTGCCATAGACACCAAAAGGTTGTGAACTTTAAATATCAAGGCTTACATTAGTCTTCTTTTAGAGCAGAAACAGTGTGCAGTAAGCGGAAATTTTATATGCAGCATGTAGAAGCTAAGTTCACTTGTCCAAATAGCCTCTTGAATGCCAAGGCAACCTTTGAAAGAAAAAATCTTTTCAGGAATATTTCTTCTACAATGGAAAAAGTAGAAGCAGCATGCAGCACATTTATGTTTATTGAACTAGGAACTATTCAAAAAGAACTAGCAATCATGCAATGAAACAAAGTTGTGAATTATATATAGTTCAGAATAATAAATTTAAGCCCCAGCTCTAATAGATTTTACCTTTAAAAATAATCAACTACTATAGTACAAAATGCATGGTGCAAACTGAAACATCTAATATGAAATTCAGAAGAGTTTCAACACAACATACTAGAAACTATGGTGTTAAGTAGCTTTCAAGTTTCATAGACAATTTCAAGCACAAGTAAATACCAGGCAGCCTCTAAAAGGCTTGTGCCTTTGTAGCAGCTTGCTCAAGCCTAAGGCTCTGAGAATCTTCCTGGGGACTCAAATTACTGCTCGCGTCATGATCTCCATCATTTTTTATAGATGCAACATTAACTTCATCACTTCACAAGTCAGCAGATATGTCCTTCTCAAAGTTGACTCCGTTCCTAGTAACAGTTGCTGGAATAGGTGCTGAAATTGACTGAGGAGCTAGTGAGAAGTCTGATACAGTTACCTGAGAAGAAACCAACCCTTCTTCTTTCTTTGCCACATACTTCAAATGATAATTAAAACAAAAATTAGAAAGAAGGTGTACTATCAATCAAACTCCAAATAATTTTTTAGACAAGATAAGTTATCCAACTGGCAAACAATTACAGTCAAACTTTAAATAATCAGTTAGACAAGATAAATTATCCAACTGACCATCATTTAAACCACATTTTACATTCTCAGGATACAATATTAAGAAATAACAATGATTGCATTCTTACCAACTTCTCTTTTCCTTTTGAAAAATTGGACTTAGATGATTTCTTTCCAAGAAGCAAGTTCTTAATCCATCTTCCAGGCAACCTCCCCATCTTCGTAAAACAAAAATAACTAAACTCCCAAGTATGTTACTACGTAAATCTGAAAATTCATACACAACAAGACATCAATATCATTCAAACATAAAGCGATAAAACATTTAAACATAACATTAAAACACCCAACTTCCTCTAAATCTTAGTCTTGTACCATTAATCCATGTCCCATAAAATACACTTAAAATTGGTGCCAGACTGCCAGTTAAATTTCTACTAAATAACATTTTAAAAAAAAAAAAAGAGAGAAAACAGTATCCTTAAATAATCTACACCTACTAGTACTACCATGAAAATAAAAAGATGAAGCTCATTTCCATAAGAATATAATCAACTTCAAACTGAAAAACCAGTGAAGATGCAACCGAACTACAACCGAAGTACGCATCTACCTAACACCGGGAAAAAATCAAAAGAAGCAGGCACCATGCAATCGGAACCAGAGCAAGATAAACTGTAACGACCTGGTCGGTACTACAGGTCTACAACAACCAAGCATGTCAACGAAATCAAACGGTAAAGTAGAGGAAGTTAATCTAAGCTGGATCCAGAATCATACCTGCAAATGCAGCACCAGCAAATCCTAAGAAGCCGCCATTACTGAAAAAGAAAGTAATGCACAGAATATCAGGAAACAAACAGGCGATATTTCCAGAGATCTGAAGAACAATATTTCAAGAAAATCAAAGAAAAGCCGAGAATGAAGAAGAGAAATGTACCAAAATCGAGCTCTTCTTTTCCGTTCTCATTTTTTTAGAAAATTTTGGTTCTGTTCGCTCCAAAGAGTGAGCTCTGCTACAATTAAACGGTTAGGGCAATGAGACGGAAATGGAATGTCTACCTTTGGACGATGGAGATGGCGGAGTAGGGGAAATGCAAGGAAGACGACACCGTTTATTTTTAGGTGGGTCCCTTTCAACTTTCAAGTCCCAACACGAATTAAGAGACGGCAGAGTAAGTAGGCGGCCCCACATCGGGAATCAATTAATTTACTTAAGTGCCCTTTGCGGCAGTGGTTAAAATCGCAGCCTTCTGTCAGGGTCATACTATCTGTTTAATTTTTACCTTAAAAATTATTAAAAAACAGTTAATAATAATTTATAAATAAATATTTTTAAATATTATAATTAAATTTTTTTTTTTTTTGCTGCCCAATGCCCAGATTGATAAGTCATATTAATATGATTCTTTGTAGCA